ATCTGGCCTGAGCTTCCCAAAGCCTCAGACAGAACTCAAAGGACAGGAACTCACAGACCCGGAACGGGAGAGAACAGCAGCACACACATGTGTCACAGGAAAGGAAATTTCACAGGATGGTTGGGAGGACTGGGCAGCAATGGGAGGCTAGACCCCTGGTATGGAGAAGAGGACTGTGGGTTGTCCACCTTAGCCTCTAAGGGTCAGCTCATGTATACGCTAGTGTCTGTGAGAGAGGAGGGGAGGGAGGGAAAAGGGAGGGGGGAGCCTGACAGGAGGAGAAGGGGAAGTGGGCAAAGAGAAAAGAGCACAACACGCACAAAAAATAACTAACAGGTGAATCATTGGACTAAAAGGCTGCAGTTATAAGGCTTCTTTTAGAACTTCTATATTCTTATAAAATGGGTCTAAAACACTCTCAGTCAGTCCCCACTTCTTGGCGGGCTACTTACACAGCATCACGGAAACCCAGCTCTTCTTACCCTCTCTCTTGCTTTCTTCGCCCACCAAAGGGACCCCACAGAAGAGCAGACACTTAATTCAAACTGAAGCTCCCTCAGTAGTGATTGGGAAGAGTCAGGCAAGCGGCCCGAGGATCTTGTGCACCAGACAAGCTCACTCCCCAGCTCCTCCCAGGCACCCCCCTGGTCCCACCCCTGGCTCCACCTCAGGGACTGCAGTCCAGGCACCGCCTCACTCAGGCGAAGCGCGCACACTAGAGGAACCCCTGCCTGTGCCCTGCTTCCCCACTGGGATGCCACAGGCTGCTCTGCCTTCACTGGCCCTGTAGCTCCTTAGGTCTCCTCCTTAACCCTTCTCTACACCAGGCGCGGATGGGTTCTCAACTCTCCTCCCCTTCTCCCTCATCTAAGAGGGGTAGCCAGGCTCCCCGTTCCCGCATGGCCTCAGCTCCCTGCCTCCGACCCACACATGCCTCCCCACGCACTTCCCCACCCAGGGTCCTGCTCTTCCTCCTCCTGAGCCTTTCCACCTTCGGCCTAACCTTTTCCTCTGGTTCAAGCTTTCCTCATCCTCTTCCCCTCTACTCACCTCTAGGGTCACTCTCTGAAGTTGCTACAGGCTGCAGCATATCTGGCAGTGGGACCCACATGATCCGCTAGGAACGCACGGCTAGTAGTGCACTGCAGAAGCCAGACCTACCTTCATGCTGTAGCGGTCCAGCTGGTTCCAGCCGCCAGGAGTTCGGAGCGATGCAGTTGAGGCTGTGCTTGCGCTGGGGCGGCGAGATACAGACCCTCTGAGGGCATGGCCATCCCTCAGGGTGGGCGGAGGAAGATGCAACCAAAGGACAGCCAATCAGGAGGCAGAGCTTAATTGCTTAGTATCTGTCTGTGTGCCTGCAGCTCAGGTCTTTTCGATCCAAACAAAAGTGGTAAACACAGGTGGAGGGGAAAAAACAGGGGGGGCGAAAAATACCGCCGGGAGTCAACTGAGGCATGGAGCACATGACAGGAGACACAGCGGCAGGAGTGAAGGAAACCAGAGGACCCAGGGCTCCGCAGTATCAAGATGGAGAAATAGGGCAAGGACCTCAGAGTATCGAGATGGTGGGATAGAGAGGGAGGGTAAAGAGACAGGGGAGGTGAAAGTAGCAGGCACAGGGTGAAGTGAGATCATGAAGGGGAGGTCCAGCCTGAGTGACAGTCTGTTACGCTTCGACTCGCCAGCTCCAGATCACGATCTCACAGTTGATGGGATCACCCGCGTTGGCCCTGCACCGAGGGCATGGAGCCTGTCAGATTCTCTCATACCCTCTCAAAAAAAAATAAATTAAGATTTTCTTAAAAAAAAAAAAAACTTCTGAAAAAAAGCTCTTTAAATTAAAAGAAAAAGGGGGGCCATTGGGCACCTCAGTAGTAGACACAATGCTCATCTGTCGGGGTCGGTGAGTTCAAACCCACATTGGATGAGCCTACTTAAAAAAAGAAGGGGAGGTCCAGACTGGGAGACTCAGTATGGTAGGACCCAGAGACAGTGAGAAAGTCAGGATGACTGAAATAGGTAGATCAAGCGCTGGGAAAAACAGACCAGACAGGAGACTAAGCTAAGAAGACCCAAGAAGGTAAAATGTGGAAACGGGAGACAAAGATGGGAGGTGCTGGAGTCTGAGAAACAGCGGTGGGGGACACAGAGACAGAGGTAGGCTGAAGGCACTGATTGGTTCTGCTGGGGATCCAAGGAACTGAAGAATTTGAAGACATAGCCATGCTGGGGCTTCAGGAGTCACAAAACAGGGGAATGTAATAGAGCAAACTGTGGTGGATGATGTACAGAAGGCCTTAAAGTGGATGCTGCCACTCCACCATACAGTATAGACTGGACAAAGGTTAGACGCTGCTTCTCATTCCAGAATCTTCTAAATAAATAAGAATTAATAATAAGACTTATATTTTGTGTAAACTTATTTTTTAAGGCCTAAAACAATATTCTTTAAATATTTTATTTAACAACACATTTTAAGTATTCAGTTCTACTAATTGAACTTGTATATCGACCAACACAAAACAAAAGAATAGATCCACTGCAAACTCTCCCCTTTTTTTTTTTTTTAATGAGCAGCAAAGTTTATTAGGAGAAGGGAGATCAGAAGCTCAAGACCAGGGAACGCCACTTTATAGGGAGGGGCATGGAAAGAATGTCTCAAAACAAACTCCTTCCTGATGCTCCTGCTCGTCCCCAGCAACCACTGATCTGTTTTCTGTGGTTATAGTTTTGTACCTTCCAGAATTTCTCATATAAATAGAATCTGCATAGGTAACCTTGAGATTTTGCTTTTGAAAAATAATTCCTTTGAGATCCATTCAAGTTGTGTATATCAATAGTTCTTTTTTATTGCAAAGTAGTATTCAGTGGTTTGGATATACTACAGTTTTTCAAAAGATTCACTCCACTGAAGGATCATGTTTCAGTACTTTGTTATTAAGTAAATAAAGCTGCAAATGAACATTAGTAAATCGGTAGGGGGGTTGTGCTCAGGGAACAGAGGGGAGGACATGAATGGAGGGCGGTGGGAAGGGTGGCCTGGCGAGCTCTTTCTTCCTTGAGGGAAATGGAACTCTGACTCAGTCTAGGCTCTGGGAGAGGACGGCGGCGGGTGCTTCAGTTTCTGCCACCTCTTCTCTTTCCAGCAGCTTTATTAGATGTAACTGACACCCCAAAAGAGATCACCTGTGTGAAGTGTGCAGTTCAGTGGTTTTGCCCATATTCACAGTTGTACAGCCAACACCACAGCTGATTTTAGGACGTTTTCATCGCTCTGACCCTGACCCCCTCGTCTGCCCCCGGCAGCCACGGAGCTACTTTCCGTCTCTGTGGATTTGCCAGTCCACGTACATGGAGTCAGACACCCCCGCCGCCCCGAGGTCCTGGGCCGCAGGCGCCGGTGAAATGTCAGAGCGCATCTTCACTTTCCATGGAGGAGGTCATCAATGCCCGGTCCTGCATTGCAGAGGTTTCTCTGGAAAAGCAGGATTGCTGAGGAAACGTCCTCACCACAGCTGTGCTCACACACATTTTCCTAAATTCCTCAGACGTGTTCGGAAGAAAACATGGTTGGTTTCTGTGGTTCAGCCAGGGGGAGCATTCCCACCGGGTTTGGGTGCCGCTTCTCTTTGGGGGTGTCTCCCTCCCAGCGGGGTCTGAGGGTTTTCTGGTTGTGTGGGGAGAAGTGTAGACCCCACAGATTCTGAGAGGAGCTGGAGCTCTGTACTTGGATGCTCATAGCCAGTGAGAACATCGTGGGCCCGAAGCTGGCAGCCAGAGGCCTGGTCCCCCGTGGCCCTGCCGGCTTCTGGCCTTCAGCTTGCTCGGTGTTTGTCAGGGGTCACAGTCAAGAGATTTCACCTACAGACCCGAAATCTAGCTTCTCCCAAGTGATGCGTCTGCCCGTCAGGATCAGCCAGGGGAGGAGAGGATGCTGACAGGACCTGAACACCACAGTCCCTTCCCTCCCCCGCACCATCGATTCCCTACTCCTGGTCAACTTCTGCCTCCCACCTGGTTCTGTGGGCGGGTCAGGCCAGGTCTGCAGTCCTGTGTCATTCCCAGAAATAGATGCTGGTTGTCCACTGATCTACATTTGACCCTTGAACAAGGTGAGGGTTAGGGCATACCGGAAAATCCATATATAACTTTTGACTTCCCAGACACTTAACTGCCAATAGTCTGCTGTTGACCAGAAGCCTTACTGATCACATAAACAGTTGATTAACCTGTGTTGGGTATGTTATATATATCATGTACTGTGTTCTTATAATAAAGTGAGTTAGGGAAAAAGTGTTAAGAAAATTTTACGGAAGAGAAAATGCGTTTACAGTATTTTACTGTATTTATAAAGAAAATGCTCCTTAAAGTGGACCCATGCAGGTCAAACCCGTATTGTTCAAGGTTCAGCTGTATTTGGATTTTTAGTTGTCTTAAGAAGAGGAGCAGTCCTGGCACCTAGGCCTCCCAAATGTGGAAGGAAGTCTGGGATACACCCAAATCTGGCATGGTATCCCATGCATCGAGTATACGTTGTTGGAATGAAGTTAGTAACGTTTTAAAATTTTTATCTTTGAAAGTGAGATTATCCTGTAACTTTTCTTTATCCTAATTGTGACTGATTTATTTTTTTTAATCCTGGTAATAGCCGTCTTACAAAATGAGTTGTCACTTCCAACATTTTATGTTAATTTTTATCTGTACACATACAAGACTCTGCTGATACTTAACAAGCAGATTGCTTGGAAACCTGTGTGGACTCTCGGTGTGGAGGGTGGGACTGAGGAGCTCATCCATGTTGGGGTCTGGATGCCCCCATGGCTTGCTTCTCATTGTCTGTCTGTAGTCATGTCTGTCTGTCCTGTGCAGGGCTGAGATCCCAGAGCGTCCTGCCATCCCTGGTGTCTCTCCCTTGCAGCTGCAGTTACGTGAACTTGCCCTCCACGACAGGTGCCCTGTCCCTGGATAGTCACATTTCCCAGTGTAGGTTTGGAAAGATGTTGCCGCTGGAGAAGGCGTTTGCCAACCCCAGGAGCTCCCCAGCTCCCCCAGAACTGCCCATGCTAGGATCAGCAGCTGAGGACCAGCAAGAGGACTCCAGGAGTGGCCTTGGGGAGGTCCCTGCCAACCTTGAGTCCTCCCGCCTGCATTTCCGGAACTTCATCTACCAGGAAGCTGCAGGGCCCCACCAGGCCCTGGACCAGCTGTATGAGCTGTGCCGCCAGTGGCTGCGCCCTGAGGCGCACTCCAAGGAGCAGATGCTGGAGCTGCTGGTGCTGGAGCAGTTCCTGAGCGCCCTGCCGGACAAAGTACGGTCCTCAGTGGTGGCACAGCATCCTGAGAACTGCCAGAAGGCAGCCTCCCTGGTGAAGGACCTTGCCGACGCCCTAGAGGAGCCAGGTGAGTCCACCACCCCAGAAGAGAGCACAGCACAGAAGAGATAGGAAGGGTGGTGGTCAGCCCTGGGAGGAGTAAAGTTGACAGCATAGGGCCCAAACTCCAGTCAGTGGCTTACCTGAGAGTTGAATTCGCCTGTGTATAAGAGGCACAGAGGTGAGCAGCCCTGAACTGCTGGGGTGGCTCCTCAGCAGGGATAGCTGAGCAGCTCCTCAGCTGAGGTAGCTCCTCGGCCCCACCACCCTGCCCAGAGTTGCCTCATGGGCAGGGAAGGCTGCTTGGGCTCCTGCCCTCACATCTGCCTTCCAGATACAAGGAAGCTGGGGGAACCAGCCCCTTAAAAACAGTAAATGTCCTGGGCATCTGTTTCTGCGCTGGGGCTGGGTGGGCAGAGTCTCTACCACATCAGAGGGCGGGGCCTGAGGGACTGCTGGTGATGGGGTCCTGGAGCCTTGTCTGCTCCCACCCCCTGCAGGTTCACTGTGTGATTGTTAGCACATCTCTCACTTCCCCTCGAGTATAAACAGGGATGCTGTTGAGTCTGCCATGGGGCTGTCCACAGCTCTGAGCGAGGGGCAGCGTGGGAAGCTCGCTGAGCCTTTGCCATCTGCTCTATTACCAGATGGGTCCGTGAAGACTGGTGAAGACGTGGAGCCCAGTGAGACCCAGGCCGCCCCCAACATCTGTGAGTGAGCAGTTAGCCCTGGGACGGGTGTGGGCCAGTGCTTGGTTGGGGGAGGGCATGAGGCAGATGCCACGGAGGTTCTCATGGGAGCCAAGGTCTGGCAGTCTGTGCTGACTGACTTCTTCCTGTAGGCTCTGGTGAACACGACAGCTATTTATAATTAATCTTCAAAGATTACGCGGGTTGTTCATGCTTTACCATAAACACCAAAAAGCATTGAGGTACAAAGAAAATCTCCCCCCGCCTCCATGTGCCCTCCACAGCTAAAACCAAATGGTGTGCCCTGGCATGTGTTCCTTCATCTCTTGCACACACACGCACACATCTCAGCCCTGAGCCCTGAGAGGGCTTGTGGCCAGTGTCCCTGGAGACGATATACTCGTGCTGGAGCTCGTGCTGTTTGCGTAGAGCAACGTCTCACCCACCCAGGCCCATCCAGGCAGTGGCCAGCACCATCTCCTTACTTTCTCGGCATTTCACAGGATCCGCTCTTCCTTGGCCTAGAGTTGGGATTTACGGCCATTAAGGTTTCTGCCTCTTCCTACAAATGCACCGTGAAACGTCCGCAGGCATGTGCCTTGTGTGGATGTTTTGTGTGTTTAGGTGGGTTCCTCACGATCACTGGACAAAGGACATTTCTGCATGGTCGTGCGAAGTTATGTAGCACATACGGTGCCAGTGCACAAGGTGCCCGTTTGCCCACATCTATGCCGTATTGTGTCATTGCTTTTTAAGATTTCCACCAATCTAACTGGTAGAAAAGTGTTACCTGCTTTGTGGGCTTTCGTTAGAAAGCCACTGTTGACCGTGAGCTTCTTTTTGCTTTCTTCTTGGCTACTCTGCTCTGTCACCTGAGGACAATTGTAGGGTCCCTTGAGCTTGAGACCTACCGTGACATGAGCGCTGAGACCTTCTGCCTCTGAGTCTGACAACTCTTCCCTCTCTTCCTGGGGCCTGTGCGCGGGGGGCCCTGGGGTCTCCCTGATTGGCTTGGGCTGCCCAGCTGTGTGACACTAGTCTGCTCAGCTCTGTGTCCCCTTCTACCAGCCTGTCCTGCTCCAGACCCTGTGCTTCTGGAACAAGGGTGTGCCGGGGACAAGAAACCCGAACAGCCCAAGCCTGCTAAGACTGAGCCAAAGGTGCGTGGGGTCTGTCTTGTCCAGGGTTCTCAGGGCCTGTCCCCAAGGAGGAGGAGCTGTCCCCCTAGCTTATTAGGCTCTCTCCTTGCCCCTGTCATTAATATGCTGCCAGCTGGCCCTGAGAGGGATGGGGGCCCAGCCACAGGAGAAGGGGGTCTGGGCTGAGGTTCCTGGGCTGCACACCTAGGCTGCTCCCTCCCCAGGAAGCCAAGAGGAGGTGGGGGTGAGGCAAGGAGAGGTCTCTGAGATCAGAACAAAGGGGCCCGAGTGCCCCCTTGGGGGTGTTGGACAGGTGGTCCCTTTCTGTCAGCCCCCTACCAACCTGGTTTGTGGTGACTCCCAGGCCCCAGTCCCTTTAGCTGCTTCCATCGCCCTGTTCTGTTGTGTCCTCTGGGCGAGTGCACTGTTCCTGCCACCACAGCCTCCTTCTCACCTCCTGCCAGGCCAGCTGCCCCTGTCCTGCAGGGTTCCCTCCCCACTGCCATACCCCCTTCTGCATTCTGGGCCTGGTCGTGCCCTATCCCCTGCCCGGTGGACACATCTCCCAGCCCTTGTGGGGCCCATGGCGCACTTGTCTCCTCTGTGGCCTTTGTCATGGGTGACTGCTTCTCCTAAGGGCAGTAAGCGTGGCTGTTCTGGTCCACCTGTCTCCTGGGTGCCGGCCTGGGGCCCATGCAGGGATGGAGGAGATAAGAGATGTTGGGGTTTTGCCCTCTGGGGGACATTTGGTGACATCTGGAGACAGCTTTGGTTGTCAGTATTTGGCTGGGGGAGGAGGTGCTGCTAATACCCAGAGGAAGAGGCTGGGAAACAGCCTGCAGTGCCCAGGGTTGGTCCTGCCAGAAGAAAGTCCATAGTGCTGAGGCAAAGAAACCCAGCCCCCGTGTTAACCTGGGATCTGGGTCCAGGCCCTGCTAGGTGGTGGGTGAGAACCCTCAGGATGGTGCCACCCCTGCTGTGCTCACTGTGATCATGGGACTGAGGGTCCACCCTCCCTCTGGACGGGAAGCCTCAGCCGTGGTGGTGCTGCCGTTTCAGAAGTTGACATTTCCGGAGATGCCTCTGTACCTGGGTGAATGGGGCCACCTGGACCCGGCAGAGGAGAACCTGAAGACCTTCCGGAAACTGCTCCTGTGGGGTGAGACTTGTCCCCCACAGCCTCATGCTGTACCCTGTCCTCTTCCAAGAGGATTGGCCTAGGGGATTCCGACTCCCACATGGAGCATTGGTTATGGCCCCACAGTGTTTTTTGTTTTGTTT